CATTTATTTTTCTTTTAATTTTTTTATGATGGATGAGGATGCGATAGACTATGACTGGCGCAATGATCCCAAATACTCGGAAGAAGATAAAAAGTGGTTTGAGGAGTGTTTTTTCTATCGGTTGGAAGAACTTAAACAGGTCAATGAACGATACACTCAATCAACAAAATATACGGCTCAAAAGCTCACAAAGGATCATATATTCATGGATCAAAAACATCAACCAATCATTCAAACTCACAACTCAATTCATCATCAAATTCCATCACCTAGCACATTATGCCCGAATTCCATATCAAATATGCACAAGAGACTCATTGAGGTGAATCCAAGTAGATCAACTACAACTACTCAAATCCTAAGAAAGCAATAAACGTGTTAAAGCAATAAACCTAACATGCAACTACATGATATGCAAGATAATGTGTAGGATATCTTGTTATCTTCTCTCTAAATTTCTCAAATCAAAATATCACATCTCCCCCCAAACTTGAATGAAATTATATGAAACACATAAGGGGAGAATAGAATTTCAATAAAAGTAAAATATAGACGACTCATAAAACATTACTGGAGAGGTGGCGATTGTTGATATAGATCTCGAAGCATGTCCTTCGTTATGTAAATATCTCCACGTAGTGTTCTGCAAGGAAGAAAAATAAAATATCAAACAAATCAAAGATATAACTAACTAAAAAAATAAAAAAATAAAGCAGAAAACATTGGGTTGCCTCCCAACAAGCGCTAAGTTTAACGTCTTCAGCCAGACGAGAATGTCTATTAGGGAACTCTAAATAAGGACTTTAATGATCTTCTCATCCTTTTAAGTTTGACTTTCTCCCAGTAAGGACTCAATCCATAAGAGAGCATTATGGTCCCGTCATAATCACCAAGTTTACCATCACAATATCTCTCAAATTTCAGGATGAAGATTTCAACCTCTTCATCATATGGAATGACAAATTCAATTTTTAAACATTCAGAATTAAAGAATTCTTCTTGAACCACCCTTTCAGTGAGAATAACTTTTGGGGATATTTCAAAGATGACATCCTTCTCTTCTTCGTGTTCTTCGGCAACGATAGAAATTTCTGGTGCACTATCTAACGACAAAAAGCATAGAGGAATATAATCGAGCTCTTCTTGTGATATAGGAGGTAAACTAGAGAAATGACAATTCCCCGGTGTATGTGGCAACATCAAACCACATTCATCACACCCAATGCCACTTTCCTCGAGTTCTCTCCTATGACGCTTCGACTCCAACTCAACCTGTTTAAGTTCTTCCAACTGATAGAACAAACACTCCTCAAACCACTTTTTATCTTCTTCCGAGTATTTGGGATCATTGCGCCAGTCATAGTCTATCGCATCCTCATCCATCTATATTGTATATATGAAATAAATAAATTATATTTATTTTTATAATAATAAAAAATAATAATATTTATTACAATTCATTAGAAAAATAAAATTATTTATCAGTTGATATATTTATTTTTAATGTAGTTATATGTTGTAAGTTAAAAATTATTATAACACATGTAAGTTGCACAAATAAAAAGTGTTATACTAAATATAAAATAATATATATATATATATATATATATATATATATATATAAAAGGTATTTAAATTTTCAACTATTTTTCTCATTAATTTTAGACTTTAAAAAAAATTAGCAAGCACCCATGTAATACACGCGTGTTATACTAGTATATAAATATTATATAATTTATAATAAGAATTAAATTATCTATCGTCCCTGATATAAAAATCATAAAATTATTTATTAAATGAACAAATTTATATATCTCGTGAAGCCAATTATATCATATGAGATAAAAGAAATGTTAATAATATAACGAGCGAGTCTTACAAGAGTTTACATATGGATTTGACATTTATGTAAAAAAAGAAAA